TCGCTTCGAACGTCTCCGTTCGAAGATCTTCGGCCGAGGCCTGACTCTGAGTAGGCCGCGACACGTTCCTTTTGCGCAGGCGCTTCAGCTCTTCTTCGTTGTCGGAACATTCCTCGTTCAGTTCAGTTTTCTTTTTGGCGGGGAGTGGTAGCGAGGGAATTTTATCTCTGCTACAGATCTCGCCGATCAAGTGCTGGGCCCTTTTGGGCGTTATCATTTTCTTCAACTCTGTGGAATTGAAGAAAATGGGATGCCTGCGCTCCTTAACGCGTACACAGCATTCCAGCTGACTGGACTTGATCGCGGTGTTCAGATTCTCAGTCGTGGGCCTCAGCGGAGCCACAAACTCTAGCTTCTGGAACGTATAGTTCGCGGCCTTTCGTTCTTCGCTGGTAGCATTGAACACACACTTGTCTCTCTCGTCCTTGTCCCAATCCGCAATCTCCATCTGGTATTCCCCTTTTCTGACCAACCGCCGTTGGTAGAAGATAGCCGATCCATCTGCTTGGGCTTTTTTGGCCGCCTCCACCGGCAGCCGTTTCCCGTTTTCATCCACTTGGTACTCAACCACATAGTAACTTATCTTGTTATCGCCCTTTCCTTGAATCTGGGTCTGTTTCTGGGCCAAGAGTACACCACCGTCGGCTAACCTCCAGGATAACCATGGCCATTTGGGCCCGTTCGGTCCCTCTACACCCCACGGAACATTGGCAATTTCGTACTGCACCGAGTTCCCAGATGAACCTTGCCTCTCTCCCCGAACATACTGATGCCCGGCATTCTTGGTTGTGTTTGTTGAGTCTGGGTCTTCTGTATCATCGCCTTCGTCATCTTGTTCAGTATCTGACGGTGATTTGTCCTGCATCTCAGTTTGCGTTTCGCCTTCGTCTAAATCCATTCCCGCATCGTTGTCGGTTGGATTTTGCGTCCGGCTTGCGGGTTGAGATTCCGTCTCTTCGCCATCAGGGACGTCGAGCTCAGCGAACTCTAGAGTATAAATGATTAGTAGAGCGGTCTTGAGTAAAGACAGCCTACTGACTTTGTAACCCTTCTTCTGCTCCATCGATACCAATCTCTTCCGCTAGATCTAGAAGCTGTTCCCACTCATTTTTTGCGTCTGATCCCTGCAGACCAAAAATCTGGGGAAAACTATCTTG